ATGTAAACACAATCATCATTGGTTGACGAGCATCAACCAATGGCCTTTCGCAGTCTTCTGGTCACGCGACTACTGCTTGAACTGCGTGGCCTTTGATTGGTCAATACTGTGGTCTGCTGTCCATAAACCGGAACGCTTGGCAGGCGTTATTTCGGAGGTCTGAGTCACCACTAANNNNGAGGATGTTTCAAAATCCTTCCAGGCTCGGTATTGAGGTCATTGCTGTCTCCAATACGCGTTACATAGAATATCTAAAGCCATGACTTTTGCTGTCAAAATAACAGGAATCGACTAATAGCGGGATCTAAAAGGCCTCCATAGATGGTGGGTCCACAAAGACCTACTGTTTAATCGCATCCAGAGTCGTGTATTCGTAAATCAATTACAACTGTAAAGTCTCTTTAAGTAGGGATCTATAAGTTAATATAATTCACAGTTTTCAATATACATATTGGTGCCAAAAAGCAATCAACCAGATCAGGAATAGGATATTCAGTCAAATTCGGAAAGCCTAAATAGTTCGTTCCCTTTTATAAAATCACTGTTGGCCCACACCCAGAGGTACAAGGTATACCTTATCATGTGGTAGCTGGTTAAATGAAGAAGACTCCAGAAACGGCGATTACCGAAGCTTATCCTTATCTCGCCGGAAATTTGAAAATGAAGGGGGGATATGATGGAAAATAGTATAACTAACAAAATTTGATTAGGTTGTAGCTCATAGGATCTGTTTATGACTGTCTCCACCTGAAGGACGAAATTTCATAACTTTCAGCCACAAGCTACTCACGATTGACTGAATGTTCGTGACAACTTCTACCCACACAGGGTGATACCTCCTTGATGCAGATTATCGCAGATATACTTGGCTACAGATGTGTAAACACATTTAAAAATGGTACTGTCAGCACATTGAGTGGCAATATTCTCAAAGATTATTATTATCATTATTATTGCTATTATTATTATTATTATTATTATTAGTCAAGGGAAAAACAAACAGAACGAGCATTCATCACTCACTCGTTTATAATCAAGTTCCGTTGTGTTCTGAGACTGGAGCCAGGTGGTGATCACAGAATCTTTGAACGGACCGGTTAGACCACCGCCTTGTTGTTGAATTTGCCTCAACGTGCTACACTCAGATACCTGAAATAGAAAAGAAAATCTGAGCTACTGAATGCAAAAAAGAAAAATAATTATGCAAACAAACTGAAGTGTGGGATCACAGACTGAAATCTGGTGGAGTAGTTGTGAAATAATTGTCCCAGTTCTTGTGTCTGCAGCTCGTTAATAGTTGGCTTAGTCAGAAAGAAAGCTTTAGAGGTGATGCACGCAAGAAAGGAGGCGTCGATGAAAATTCCATCTAAATAGCACCGTGATTTGTTGATCAAGTTTATAATCGGAACTCTTAAAGAGAGCCGAATGCAATCAGAAACCTAGCATTTGCAGTCTCATATAATACGGTCGAATAACTGCGTTTTTCGAACACACGTCCGGGTCCATATTGGACACCAATACCAGCTATATCAGAACAAAAAAAGGGATATGATCACAACAGCATGATCCCGTTCACCAGTGCTAACAATTTATTGCAATACATCGGAAAATGAACAGGGATGACGGTAAGCAAACAATGACATGTGTGTGTCCCTAACCAGCTCACACCATTTAACTGGGAGAAGGATGGAACCTGATCGAAGCTATGCAAAAAGTAAGATTAGTAAAGGACAATAAATGTGTGCTCATAGGTGCGAAAAACATATCCGAGGTACGGGCGACATTGACTAAAGAACACAGCGAAAAGCGAGTGTATGTTCTGGTATAGAAAATGGGTAGGTAAATCTTTGACCCCCCCCCCCTTCCAATAAACATTCTTCTGAAATCAATAAACAGTAAACACTTAAAATTGGTTCCACTTGCTGATTGCTTACGTGGTTTAGGCGTTTTTACTAGTGTGTATTATATGAAATAGTAAACAAATTATGATAAGAGACATTGAACTCACAAGCACGGATTTCGACTACGAGTACCCCGATTAGTGACGCTAGATTATTGAAATTGTTAAACCATCATCCAAATCTAAGTGCTCAAGAGAGGTTTTGCTTAAGAAGACTTTCTTGAAATCAGAAAATGTCGGTCCACGCTTCATTGGATCTTCCCGCCTCAAAGGGATAGATCAGAACGTAGAGTATTCTGATGCTACCCAAGCATGCAAAAGTTCATTCTGTGAAAGAGAACCATCTGGAGGACAATATGCTGGGAAATGATATTGCGGGTGCATTCACTTGCAATAGGAGATAAACAAATTCGACCATTATGTATAAGACCTATGCGGATTTGGGTTGAATTCATCTCCGTGTCTTTTACGCACCATCTCGGCTGTAAGTCACCGATAATAGTAGGCCATTTAGGCACAACAGATTACATTCTAACGGAAACCACGGCAGGGTTGAAAGACAGGCAAACACGTATTCATTAACACACACACGTACCAACTCAATGAGACCTTTTCGATCACCGGTGGGGACAATCCGGAAGTGGATAGTGCGCAAATCCAAACCAGCATTTAACCAGATCCGATCCATGATAAACGTCATTTGTGTAATCAGGCTGTCCAGACGTAAATCGTCACCGGCCTGCAGGAACGATCGAACAGAAAACAATTGTTCAAAAGAAGGGATGATGGAAGGAGTGGGGGAGTTATTGAGATGATAATGGAATTCTTTACTTCTCCACCCGGTTGGATAGAGTACAAAATACTCACTGTCTAATAATCAATGATGACTAAGGTAACCTAACTAAAGGCACCGATTTTATCCCCGGAGTCAAACTGGTGCCAATAGAATCTAAAATCAAATTGACTTATAATTCTGTTCATTTTCAACTCACACAAATTCAGTTTAACTGATAGTCGGTGTTAGCAAACTTGAAGAGGTAGGGATTTTATCAAACAATAAATTCTCGTTACAATTTCATCTCTTTTAATCTAATGATTTCCGGTTGATAACTGAACCAGCAATACAGATCATTTAGTACAGTTCAGGTAAGGAGAGATAGCTGAAATTACATTCGAAACTATCAAGAAACCTCCAAGAGAAGCGCATTCCTGAGGGTCGAATTCTTCCAAACCGGCTATTGAGCTAGATACACCAAAGTATAAAACAATTGCGCAAATATTTGACTGAAGGTTGTTTGGTGGAAGTCCAACACCACCAATTTTGTTCCCTTTTATGAATGTCAGGTACCATTAAATTAGTCGGTGCGCTCTGACTGAAAATTGGTTATAAAATGGTATATTTAATTGATGTGAAGATTGCTCGCATTGTTGCTTTTACTCAGATGGTTCGATCCAGTTTTCTTGTTTAAGACAATCGAGCTTTTCCCAGTCCTACATTCTAGTGATACTTTCTATGTATAGATGGAATTGTTTTCGAAATACTATATCGATCGCCAACGGTACGCACTACTGTAATCGAACGTTCTAGTTACCATGGGTGCTAACAAATACCATTTAACCTACTCAGGTGTATCATTTCACTGTCAGTCCACCAAATCTCACTAGATAAGTACAGTTATATATTTAGCATATAAGGGGTTTTAGGGTTTTGCTGTGGTTCATAGATCGTGAGTTGATTGCAACCTCAGAATCATGTTTTTTTCTTTTCTCGGGAAAATAACAGCAGTATGATAGATTTTTGAANCCCCGCCACTGTATATGCGCAAGAAGCGGAGTTATTGATCTCCTCCGAAATCCTCAGTATGGTCGGGGGTTGGTGTTTAGGGTTGTGACCGGTCACTCTTCCCTTGCACCTCGCGAAAACTCCCATACGACCGAGAGTCTCAAATAGCCTCTGCTGAGGATGTTTTACTCACTACCTTCTCGTGGCGGAGGTGTTTTCTCACAGAAGTGAGAGGACGAAAAGCCGAGATCCGGGGTTATAACCGGGTTGAACTACTGGTGGTTCACCTAGGGCAGTTGGCCAAAAACCCTGATTCTAAACCAACCATGAGGAGGCGTACGAACCACCCACGCCTTTCCGGTTGTGGTAACGGTCACTGGGTCGATTGGGCATCGAGGTGTATTGGGTACCTTGGACGTTTGACCCCGTCCGAAGGGAGTATCATCCGATGAACTGGACACCGGCTTCCAATGGATTGCGGTTTTCGCACACCGCCCCGCTGCCTTGCGAGTCAGGTTTTGGCTAGCCCAAGGCTCCGGTTGCGGATTCCCCAAGAAAATTCACCTGCCTTGGCTTGGGCAACCTGATCAACTTGCAAATCGTGGGACGTGATTCTTTTTATAAAGATTATTGTAGCACGATTTGTTTGGCGCACAGTCTGAACTCAGACGTATATATATATATATGGAGAAACAGTGGATTCGTTATTCTTGGCAGTTTTGTTTTAGGCCCGGGTGCAGCCATTTCCAATGGAGTGCGAGTTGTGTGCATGTCTTAGTAAAGCTTTTGGTTCATAGTTGCTTCTTGTATTTTCCCTCTCTTGCAGGTTGCTTGGACGACCCCTCCACGGAGAACCTACTGTGAGAAATGTGTCTTACCTGTGTTCTGAGAGTGTCGCTGAGTGACCAGGGATTGTGCGGCCCTTTTGGGACGACGTTATTTGTATAAGAACTGAGACTGCGTTTCGCGCAATCAACCTACCAGTGTTTCGAGTGGATTCTGAAATGGGGTCGGTCCTCCATACAACACCGTGAAGGCTCAAATCTCGCGCATCATTTCTGATGCGTTAAAGAAATTCCAATTTCGTTCTACATTGTTACATTTGAGCACTAGTTCAAAGAGCAATCTGTACGGATTAGCCGGATGAAATGTGCTAAGATAGCGAGAAATTTATCTGATTAGAAACATTCTTATTGTTTATCAGTTTTTCAGTTCATCCCCAGTAATGATATACAATCGGGATCGACCCAGA